TGTTTGGACTTTCTTTAACATGTGATTCTGTACTTTAATAAATTATATCTTCATATTTAAATATTTTAAGTTGCATATTAAGACTATTCTAGAGTGAAAGTCTGATGCACGGCAAGGAAAAGCATTTTTTTCTCTACCACAGTATAGATTTGATGAGAAATTAGGTCAACTAATGAAGTGATTAGCTCTTAAAAAAAAACCTGATTATGTTTGGTTATTTTTCCTTGAGAATATTTAATATGGAAGGAAATGGATAGAAACAGAAGCCATTAGGTCTTCAAAAGAAACCACAGTATTTCATAATTTGTGGTGTCAGAAATACAAGTTACAGAGTGAAAGTTTACTTTGGAGGTATTAATCCATTCATCTATCTATGATACTTTGGAGACTATTATAATGTTATAAGAACTTCCTAATGATGTCTTCTAAGTAAAATTAATTATTTGTAATTACTTTATAAATATTCATTTTCTCTATTTCAGGGCCATCAATTTTCACTATCAACTGTAATTTTAATCCACTCAATTTTTTTCCTCAAAATATTCTGTAGAATATGATTTCCAAGTAGTTTCTACTGCTACTGCAATATTTTTTCTTCATGTACTTATTCATCCTTTATACATATTTATTATTTTAATTCACATGATTTTAATTGCCATATGAATTTATATAACTGGCATATAGGTTTTTATATAAATTAAGACTATAGAAATTCAACATTATTTCTTATTTGAAAGGCAAAATTGAAGGAAGTAAATGTAGATAAGAGAGCATATGATTTCAAGATTTTAGTGAGAACATTTTTTTATTTTATGCTTTTAAAATAATGTGGCTGATTAGCTAAATTAGTAAAAAATATATCTAGGATAGGTAAAAAATCAAGAATGAAATGATGTTATACCCTCTGTGTGCACCATACTACTCCTAACCATGTGTCTTTTAATTGCTGCCATACTCACAGGCTGGGAAGGAATGTGGGTGCATAAGAAAGGAAGCAAAGGAAAATAGAATATGCAAGTTCCCCCATCGTTATCTAATCATCTACACCCTGAACAGAGTTTTTGTTAGCCAAGTTCCCAGATCTTGCATTATACAAAATTAGAACAGTGTATAGAGAGTCAGATAGGGAGAACTCTGAGAAAAAGGATTAATTAGAGGGAGGGGCTAAATCAGTCTATTTAATGGAGACCCCAAAGATGGTAGAAAATGCAGCATAAGATATGCCTGGAGAAATATCCTCTGAAGTATCTGCAAATGGCAAGAGTAAGGTTTGGGTTTGTTTTAGATCTGTTGATGTGTATGAATTGTGGCTTAGATCTCCTTCAAAGTTATTTGAAAGAAATCATTAAAGTTTGAACTTCCTTTCAATTCCTATTTGGGAGTTTTACTGTGGTCTGGTGAATATGACTGCATGAATTGACTGGGCCACATAGGCTCAAGATTTATTAGGGTTACAGGAGAAATCATATGTCAGTGACTAATGGAAGTTTTAATACTACTTGCAAAGTCACCATGGCAATTATATGTGTAATAGGCTATAAATATGCACAAGTTATTAAATGCAAATAGAACCGCTATTTGAATATAACCTTTTATACTAATAGATGTGATTAAAAGGAATCAAAATTTGGAACTTATTTTAGTTACATTAATATAGTCAAGCTTAAATCTGCACAGTCATGCAATGGAAAAACACGTTATCTGTAGAAGGAGTTATTTATGAAGTTTTTCATATTTTGGTCCTATGTACTATGTGATTACATGTGCCTGACTTATGAAGGCCAAACAGTGTCAATTACATTGTAGTATATAATAGCTATAAATGTTTTTGTGGTTATTCTATATTTGAATATAGTAACTTAGTTCCATTTTTTAAAGTTTCATTTGTAAAAGCTGTAATCTTATCCACTATTTTCTACTTTACTGAAGTCTTAATGTATAACTCTGAGATAACAGTGAAATGGAAATTGCTTTTAGTGGAAGTTATAATAAAGATAACAGAAATATTTTCTAGTTAAATTTTGTTTACTCTGTGTTGAAAATAGGTACTACATGGAGAGAAGGTATTCGGAAAATTGTTACATAATACCACATACTTGCAAAGTTGTTCAAGTGCTGGTGGTTTAAAACAGATTAGTTCTTGGTCACTTTTCGAATAAATATGTCAGATGTCACATTATTAGACAGGAAAATGAGGTAATAGTTCAGAGAGAGCTGTTATAAATACTGTTATTATTTATAGAGATAAGTAATAGGGAGGTTTTCAAAGAAACCTTTAGAAACTCCATTAGTTCAAAGCTCTATTAAAAGCAAAGTGGTTTTGATTGAGGGAGGCCCACAAACGATTATCTAAAGGCAACATTGTGTTTTCACAATGACCACTTCAATAAAGCATCAGTCAAGACTGTGAAGCCCGCAGTTGAACACTTTGTGGTCAAACTTGCACCTTGCACAGACAAAGCCACATGCTTTGTTTTAAATAATCCCCAATTTACAAGGTAGTGATTATAATGTTGTAGGTCTTTTTGTTTTCCCCAGAAATTACTATTACAGATTAAAGTTACATAGATGTTTTGAGTCCCTGAGTTTAAGGGAACTATCTAAATATTAAATTGTACCAGCAGCCCCCAAACAATAATTACGAAGTACACTATAAATGCTTGCAATTCCTGGCACTATTTATATTTCATCATAAATCTTGTATACCAATTTAATAAACTCAGTATACTTAAATGTGAAAACACTTATTTTAAGCTATATCCACCTCTATATTATCCTTTGCCTTTAGATGCAGATATCATACACATGAGAGGTAAAGAGTTTTTAGAAGATAGCACTGAATGCAGCACTTTCCAATCTAGCAAGTTATTTTTTTCCAAACACTGTGAAGCTACAGCTGCTTACTGTAGAACACTGAGACTGATTTGACTTGATGTTGAAAATCTTTATCAGGTTCCTATGTATGAAAATGCTATCTTCCCTTACTAGTAAAGCAGGCATATTTGTTAGGTATTTTATTAGACTTTCCTGGATCTTCCTGCGTATAGTTTTAATTTCATTGTAATTTCTGTTTTTACAAAACAGAATTCTAATAATGTATAAAGTAAATATACCAAATTTGGTTGGGGTAGGTCATTGAGTCTCATTTTCTCATTCAACTAGCCTAATGTCCCACAAGTACAGTCAAAGGGTTTTTGAGTCTTATTAAACTACCTTATCTTTAAATGCTTGGGTGTTAGTTGCACAAAATATGGTCATAACACAGCTTTTATAAAATAACATGTCACAGCATTGACTACAACTTTCTTTGTAATGAACATGCAATTTTTAGTTTTGTTATTTTGAGAATAAATTTGAGAGTTTCAAGAACATTATTATAGTTCATGTCTACCTTTACTTGATTGAGATTGCTGAACTGATTTGGTTTCATTTTAATATGGATCTTGTGATCTGATTTGTGTAGCCAAACCATTCTACCATAGTGTTCTTATTTTCTACTGAGCTCAGAACCACTTTCAAGAACTGCATACTTCACAAATGCCCAGGAAAATTGGTGTGATTTTCCAATAGCCTTTTGACTCAGCCTTCTTTTACCACTCAAAGTAAATACCTCCTTGCAGTTTCTAGCACAACTAAACAGCTACACACTCCCTAAAACTTAGTTCATTCAATTTGGCTGTCTTCTCACCAGAAATCACTTCCTGCTTTAGCTTATCTAAAACCTATACAATTTCTGATGCGCATCTCATGTTGCTTCTTTTCAAAGAAGCCCAACCTGTTCTCCAAAACCCTCAGTGAACTCTATCTTCTCTGTTAACTACATGGCCTATTATCTGTGTCATCCATTTCACACTTACCAACTGAGACTGTGTGGTTAGTTATGTTATTCCTGCTCAACCAAATTATAAGTTCTTGGAAGTCAGGGATCATGATACATTACTTCTTTGTATATGCCATAGCCCCAAATACAGCATTTTGCACATAGCAGTCATGTATTTTTAAATTTAAAAAGAATCTTAAGAGATGATCCCAACTACGTTAGATAAGAGACCTAGATCTCAGGGGTTAAAGGAAAGACTGAAAAAAATTTGGTGATTGTTGAGTGCTGGATTTACTACTAAGTGTTGGAAGAAGTTTAAATGTTTTTGTATGTATAAAGTACCCTATAAAATGGTGCTTTTCTAACTTGAATTTGCATTAGAATCAACTAGAGCGTTTGTTAAAACACAGATTGAGGGGCCCAAAGCCCAGTGTTTCTGATTCAAGAAGCCAGGAGTGTGATCAAGCATTTGTATTTCTAACAAGTTTCCAGGTGATGCTGATATGACTGGTTCTTGGACTGCCTTTTCAATAGCATTGCTGTAAGAGAAAGGTACTTATACCTAAATGCTAGCTCAATGATAGTTTTTCTATTTTTGAAAGAATAAGTTGAAATTTTTCTGTTAAATTACCTTTTTTTCCCCAAAACATGAGTAGTTTCTATTCCAAACATGCTCTCAATTTGCTCCTAAGGATCCCACTTTGCATATGATTCACAGATATTAATTGTCCAAGTAAAGAAATAATTTTGAAAGCTCTTTTCCTTCATTTTTTCAAAATTCAATTTTCACTGGAAAAGACAAGACAAATGCCAATAGGACAATGACTTCTTATCTAAATTTAGCATTCTCATACACAACTGAGAGCAAGGCTAATTGTAACAACTTTCTGGAAAGCAGTTTTGCAGTATATATAGAAAGCTTTAAAAATGTGTACACCTTTCACTCTACACTAGATCTAACTTGTAATGTTTTATCCTAAGTATAAAATAAGTAATCAACTACGGAAATATTCTGTATCTTGATGTTATAAAAGTTGACTAGATATGTACATTTGTCAAAATTCATGAAGTTGTACATTTAAAATAGGTGCTTTTTGGGTAAATTATAACGCAATAAGATTGAATTAAAATTGTTTAAAGTGTCAGTAAGAAATTACTTCTTTTTCTTGTTGTTTTTCAGCTGCAGTTATGGCATTAACCTCCCAGTTGTTACCTACTTCTAGATGAAAGTAAGTGTGAAATAGGAAATTGAGTTAAAAGTGTTTGCCATGGCCTCTGCAGTTATATAGCTTGTGGAGAAGGCCAGGGTGTGTGTGTACGTGTGTGTGTGTGTGTGTGTGTGTGTGTGTGTGTGGACACAGAATCTGTGAAGTAGTCCTGCAGCTACTCCACTGGTTTTAAGTAATAGAGAATGCATGAGCATTTTAATGACTCACCTGTTGGAAGCCTACTAGAGAGGTGGAGAAGATAAAGTACAGTAGTCCTGATGCTGATTCTAAAGACCCACTTTTTCAGCTTGGATTTAGGCTATTGGCTAAAGTTACTCTAAGAGTTCTGAGGTACTTTATAGTTGAAGGACCTGAGTCTCTGGTGATTTCATTCTCTCCGCTACAGGGAATGAAACAGGTAAATAAATAAGCAGGGCAGCAGTTTTTCTAAGTATTTTCTAAGATCACTAACAGGCTTGCTCTTCCTGCACCATTTTTCTGCTTTCTTACCTAGATTGCCAACGCCTTTTGAGTACTTATTTATCTTTCTATACCCCAGAGTCTTGCTTTTTTATAATTGCTACTCAGTAATTATGTAAGGAGATTGAAATAATTCCTTACTGTTGAGTTGGTATTTTGCAAACTTTCACTTCAGTCTAGTGGTAAGAATGTAGTAGTTTAGGAAGAAATTGACAAGGATGTTTTGAAGGTATGCCCAATAGTATTACAAATTATTTTTAAAGAAAACCTTTAAAATAGCGTCTCCTTTTTCCTAAGTAACTTGCAAATCAGATTTTTTAAATTGTTTAAAGTAAAAAACAATGCTCTTTTCTCCATATCCCAGAACTGCAGATAAATGTGGTTTCTAAAACTTTTTCCAAGTCATATATTTTCATTAGCTACAGTGATCTTACAACTGAAACTTAGCTATAGGCTATGTTAAAGATACATGAGGCAGAATGTAAAGTAGCTAGAATTTATAGTGTTACATGGTATTGCAAAAGGCTAGCTGCTTTTTCTTAATCCAAACACATATAGTCTGACTGGAAAGAGATTTTGAGGTCATATCTTTCGAATAATACAGAGTTTTTGTTGTTGGTGGTGGGTTGGTTTGTTTTTAGTTAATACTAAAGCACAAATGTTTTATCAAAATATGAGTGAAATTTTCATGGAGTTGCCTGCATTTGTGAACATCTGCTGTGTTCTCAATGGTACAGTGAACAAGAGCCATTAGACCTAAGAGTAGGACCCTATAGCAAGTATATCCAAAGCTACAACAGAGGGATGTCTGTAGAGAAAGAGGAGCCTGCTGCCTCTACTGATTTGAACTTCCCAATGACTCCCATATAAAATCTAAATCCTGTTCATCACTTGTCTTTTATCAAAAACTTAGCCATATAATTTTTCTATTTTGTATTCCTCTAATTATTTTCAGTGAAACAAGCATATGCAAACTCGTCTGTTACACTTTTATAATAAAGTGGTTTTCACCTTGTAACAAGGCTATGACTGTCTTAGAGTCTTGAATCCAAGTTTGTGAAGTAGATCCTGTGAGAGAGATGAAGTGACTTGCCCAAGGCCACTCTGATGTCATGAAAAGAAATTTACATTCAGGTCTGGCTTACCTCAGGCATAGTTGTCCATACATCAGAATTTTAAATATTTGTACCTACTTTTGAAACGTCCTTATTATTTCCAGCCATCTCTACCCACAGCCATCTCCAAATCTTGGATAAATTTATTTTGAGTGAAACGGGTTTTAATCAGTTAGGTTATCCCTCTACAGAGTTATTTCTACAGTAGAAAGCATTTGAATGTGCTATAAATCCGTCATCATGGTCTTATCTCAAATGTCACCATCTCAAAAATGACTTTATTGCCTACTACTGTTACCTATTTATTCTCTATAGTGATAGCTGATTTTATTTTTTTCAAAACATTTTCATCTGAACTTACATTATTTACTTGTATACATGCTTTCTGTCTGTCTTTTTCCCTTGGAATATAAGCTACCTTGGAGTTTGAACCTTATCTACTTGTTCCACCTTTTCCCTGGCAGTTATGTGCTAGGCATGGAATAAGGCTCACCAGATTTTGGTTGAAGCAGTAATCACTAGGTACTAAACACTGGTGTAACAATTATCAGGGGATGACATCACTCTCATGCTCGGCAACAGTTCTTCTGGTAAGAGCATTATATTTTGTTTCTACTCTTTATGTTCAGATGGGTTCGAGTGAAACAAAACTGAAAATCATTGCCATTTATATGCCTCCCTTTCTCTGTAAAGTTATAAAAATGAGATAAAATATTTAAAATATTATTTTATTACATATAAGCAGTTTATGTTTTAAAGTCTTTGAAACTATTTTCCTATGTGTATTCACAAGATACCACATTTTGATTAATTATTAATTCCAGTCATTTGCAGACATATACTATTGGAGAAAAATGAATATTAATAAGGAAACTGAAATCTGAAAGTCATCTCTAAGGTTTTACTTTTCATAACTTAAAATTACGCACAGTTGCTTGGTTATTTATAACTTTCTTTTTCATTCTACATCAAGCACACATCTCTTTCATTTTTTTTCTATTGGCAAGTGAGCATGATAGATTAGTGAATGAATTAGGCATCATACCACGTTTCATAATACTACCCTTTCTATTGGTCTAAAACCAGAAAATGAATATAGACCACGTAGTAGCTGAGATCATAAACTGTGAAAAAAAGTTTTCTTAATTGGGAACAAGTTTGAAATAGAAATAAACCCACAGCGCATTTTTTTCAGTGCATTAGAGCTGATAGTGATAGTAAACATACACATACATTTGAATATGTGCATACGTAAATATATGTGTATATATACATATGTGTGTGTGTGTGTGTTTGTGTGTGTGTCTCCTGATCTTATTTAAAAGTATTTAAAGTGACTTTTAATAGTATGTTATTCTTAACAATGCTTTCTGGAAGCAGTTGCTAATTATTTTCTACATTTTACCAATGACGAAAGTGGGGATTGGGGAGTTTATATAATTTACCCAAGATTGAATAATCGATTAAACAGACATGGGCCTTGAATTCCAGTTATCTGATTGGTATCTCACTACTTAAAAATAATATAAATTAAAAAGGACAAAATTCTCAAATCAAAATTTAAGTAAAAGTTAGGTCAACTTAATTATTGTCTCTATTCAAGGTTTAGCTGCAGGCAACATAATCTACTCTAGTTAATTAATGGAAAACTTTATTTGGGAGTATCAATTAACTTACAGAATTACTGGGAAGACCAAGTATACCAGGCTTGAATGCCTTCAAACTAGTAATACTGAACCACACCAAAAGATTTTTATGGAAGTTCACCTGTTTTTGCTGCCTGCACATCCACACTTATGTGACCAGAAGCTTTGGTGGCTAAAGAAATGCCGTGTTTCCACAACTGTGCTTGCTTCTTCAATCTTTACTCTAGCCAAGCAACTCTTACTAGGTAGAACCTCCCAAGATTGCTGCAGGTTTGCTGAGTGCATTTGTCAGGAGATATATCCACCATAGTGCTGCAGCGTAACATGCTACCTCAAAATTCAGTGACTTAAAATAACAATCATCTATTTTTGTTCACACATCTGCAGGATAGCTGAGGTTGGCTGATCTAGGCTGGGCTTAGTTGGGTGGCTCTGCTTTACGTCATAGACCTGGCTGGACTTGGTTCTTTGATATGCGTTAAACTAATTCTAGATCTAATTGAATTTATTCTGGTTTTCAGGTTGAGGGCAGCAGCTGTCATAGTGATCGCAGAGGGCTGAACAAGCAGAAACACACAATGTATCCTCAATTAAGAGTTACACCCAGCAAATTCTCATTTCTGCTGCATTTCTTTGGCTAACACAAGTCATATGGTCAAGTCAAAGTAGTGGGAAGGACTGCAAACTCACATAGAAAAGAGAGCAAATGAAGGGAAGGGCGCAGCATTGGGACTAATACTTAAATCTAACACCCAGAAAATATTGTTTTGAAATTATTTCCATAAAAAAGAGAGGCACAATTGAAGAACTATCAAAATGGAGACACATTTTAAATAAGCTTGGGGCTGAGACAAAGAGAAGTAGTGTACTACATACATTTAATGTAATGGAAAATCAAGGACTAGTATATTCAGCATAGCTTTTATGTACGTAATGTTAAAACATCAGTGAAATATTGTGAGTCACGACTGTGATTCCCCTTGAAAGATTTATATACTGTATATGTAATATGTATATGTGTAAGAGATGACATCATAATAGTATATATAAAGCAATCTTACCATTGTTGCATCTTAATAAGAGAAACAAGATATGTATAAAATTGACAGATTTAAAAGAGATTTTTAAAAGATTTTAAATTGAAAGTGTTTGTTTCCATGCATTTTTATTAAATTATCTACTTTGTAGCAGTGTATGTGATCATGTGGCCCTGTGCCAAGGATAAGAAGGGGACACTGCTGTTGTTTCTGTTGGTTCAGTCTAGTGCATATATGAAAGGACAGAAACATAGGCTCCAAAATACAAGCTTAAGAAAAAGTAAAATAGTGTTCTTATGAAGTAAAAATTACTTCATAACCACTTCTTATCTAAGACCAGTTAGTACTTTGCTAATTTTCTCACCTTGGTTAGGAATGATTTTATACTCCTTAATGGATGGAGTCTCCTGTTATTTAACAATACTATCATGCAATACAAGAAGAGAACTATTTCATTTCTGGATCTTTCCAAATTCTAAAATTTCTAGTCCTTTCAAATTTGCAAGGAATGGAAATTTTAACCTTTCTTATAGTAACTACTATCTTTCCATGCATGGGAAAAATTATGCTACAACTGCATAGCAATGTATAGTATTACAGTTAAACCAGTAGCAAAAGGCCAATAAATTAAAGATACAATAAAATTACAAAAAAGATATATAAAAATTGTATATATAATTTTATTTATATATAAATAAGATTTATATTTCTATAAAAACTAACTATATAAATTTATGTTTTAT